GCAGGAATTTGTTATTCTTTACATGTTGTTCTTTTTTCAGTAATGTATTTTTATGGTAATTTCTACAACAAAGTCATTAAATTGTGCAATTCTTACCAGATACAGCCAGTAGAGTGTTAGCATCAACCGGAATGGCCCATTGTGCTATTCCTAGAACAAACAGTTCTCTCCAAGCATCTTCCAAAAGCATCAGCTGTCATACAATAGATGTATAATATAATATAGTGTGTAATTTATAAATTTATAAACAATTTCAATATGTAAATTTCCATTATTTTAAAAAGTGTTTCAAATGTCTGTCTTGGTAAATTTTTTTCCTGAACAGTCTAGTTTTCCCTTATTTTTCCTTATTTTCCTTTTTGAAAAGGTGCCTATAGATGTGCACATGTATTTGAGAGTCAGCCCTGCCTATTCCCCAAAGTTTGTTTCTCTCAAAAAAAAAAAAGATTCACTCCTCTTGCCCTTGCATCCACCTAGTCCTAACCACCTAGACACTTTTCCAGAGACCCAGGCTTTATGAAATGTCACCAAAAGCTCACTGGGCAGACTCTCCTCATATAGAATGTTGATATTATCTGACTAAGCTTGCAGATCTCTGCCCCCATCTTCCTGGGAGGGCTGAGGGGGCTGGGCTGGGAGAAAAATCACTAATTCCCAAGAGGCATGCCGGGGGAAATCAGGGTGTAATTATGTTAATCGGGTTTTGCTGAGTTTACCTCGTCACACTGCCTGATTTTTCTGAGACTCATAAGTGGACAGCATCAAGGTGCTTGTCATTTTCATTCGAATAAAATGTGCTACTGAATATTTAAAATGAAAATCTGTCTCCTTTTCCAAATTAATATACCAGATTCCACTTCACTACAGTTTGCTTGTTGTTGAAAGATTTCCACCAAAAGGCTAAGTGGCAGACTGCAGTATATTTTGCTTAAAGAGTCTACAAATACTTGCTTTGAGAAAAAAAATGGCCCATCTACACACACACTCACACACAGAGAGCTAATGGTTAGAGCCAACCAGTAAACCTGTTCAAAGATAGGATCTAACCACCTTGAAAAATCCTTATTTTTGAAAACTTTCTCAAAAACTAGCAATTCTGGATAGTTTATGTGAAAGGCTTTCCTTTTGGAAGCTAAGAGTTGAATCATGAAGGCTTGTAACCAAAATCATAATTAGGCCAAAACGTTTAATTTTCAAAATGTGCTCTTTTTTTTTTTTTAGTAGTATTGCAATAAGTACAGGAAATACTGATTTTAAAATGTAAGGTAAACAATATTTAATTCTGGCTCTATTTCAAGTCCAGGCCATAAAAAAAGAACATCTCATGCTAGAAGATGAAGTTTTTAAGTACATTTCCTGATCTTCCTGTAGGAAATGTGCTTCATATTAAGGAGCACTATTGTGCTTTAATTTGGTATGAAATAAACTGGATAGATAAATCCTTTGCTTTTACAACTGTTTGTCAGCTTTTTGGGACATTTGTCATTAATTTCCATGAATGCCCTAGTAACAACCAATGTTAGTGAACCCTTCATTTCCTTTCTTTCCCTTAAAGTTATAAAAATCCTAGCAGGAGCCATTTCTGATGTTCCTAACAACAACATTTCTGGGTTCTGATTCGATGCAAATTTTAGCTGCACATTTCCTCCCTGTAAACTACAACCACAGAATTATGCAAAATACCTATGCATTTACAGACTCTCTAACAGCATGGAAAGAATCAAGGGACAGCCTAGTCAGCAGGAGTGCAGAATGTACCCTCTGCTCCAACACGCTGATAAATCAGTGGCCAAACCTATCACAATGGCGAGTGCAAGGTTAAGAATAAAAAATAATAAAACTCGTTTCAAAAATCTCATGGACCAGCAGTTGGCGTAATAACTATGTTGCTGGACTCCCAGGTAGTCAACTGTGGTTCAAGTCCCAGATCCAGTGACTTAAAAACTCACGCCAGGTGCATGTGCGTGCGTGCCCAAGATCCCGAGAGGAGAATGGAGGAGAAGGGATTGTGGTGTGGCCATCCCCCCTGGGGGGGGGGTGATTTCTCACTTTCAGTCTCTCTCTCTGTCTTTCTGGCGAGTACACGCGCCCTATAGCAAAAACCTCTCAAAAAAAAAAAAAAAAGGTCTCATGGGGGATACACTTATTATTTTCTTGTTCTCTTTACCTGATGTCCTTTTCTTTCTGTTTTTTTTTTTTTTTTTTTTTTTAGAGGTTTTTGCTATAAGTTGCGTGTGCCCACGGGAGAGACAGAGAGACAGAAAGCGAGAAATCGGTGTGAGTTTAAGCCACCAGGTCCAGGACTTGAACCACGGTCGACTACATGGGAGTCCAGCGACATAG